ACGTGAAAGGAATACAGTACAAATAAACGCAAGAACACCCAGAACAGAGAAATACATAAATAAACAAGCATTCTGAGAGTATTGCATAGCAATACATAGTCCCCCACCAGCTTTAGAATTCATTGTACTGGAACAAAATGCTAACTTGATCTATCACTTCTCATGGTGTAAACTATATAACAAATATCAAGTCAATATCTTCAAGCATGACAAAAAAAGTGTGGAAAAGTGATTATTTGAGTGAATTTTCTAAGTCCAAGGACCATAACTCTGCACAAAATTATCAGACGGCAACAAAATTCGAACTTTGATCTGAAACTTGTCATGATAAAACTATATACCAATTGTTAAATCAATATCTTCAAACATAACCAAAAAAAATGTGGAAAACTGATTATTTGAGTGAATTTTCTAAGTCCAAGTACCATAACTCTGCACATAATCATAAGACCAAAACAAAATTTGAACTTCATCTGTAACTTGTCATGATAAAACTAAATACTAATTTTTAAATCAATATCTTCAAGCAAGACAAAAAAAAGTGCAGAAAACTGATTATTTGAGTGAATTTTCTAAGTCCAAGGACCATAACTCTGCACAAAATCATCAGACCGGAACAAAATTCGAAATTGATCTGTAACTTGTCATGATAAAACTAAATACTAATTATTAAATCAATATCTTCAAGCATGACAAAAAAAAAGAGCGGAAAACTGATTATTTGTGTGATTTTTCTAAGTCTAAGAAGCATAACTCTGCACAAAATCATCAGACCAGAACATAATTCGAACTTGATCTGTAACTTGTCATGATAAAACTATATACCAAATTTCAAATCAATATCTTCAATCATGAAGAAAAAAAGTGTGGAAAAATGATTATTTGAGTGAATTTTCTAAGTCCAAGGGACTGACGAATGGACAGACAGACAGACAGACAGACGGAGTGCAAACCTAAAGTCCCCTTCAACGACTATTAATATAATAGTACATTACAACATGTAAACCACAGAATAACAATGGACACCTTCCATGAATTTACGACAGAACACCAGTACACCAAAAATGAAGTATAAACTGTGCGTCACACGAATGTATCAACGCCACAAAAAGTGACTTATTTTTGTGACGTTTGTATTATCACAGGTAAATTTCTAAAAATAGAATAGATTTGTTTTATTGTAGACACGTACAAGAATATAAAATTGGGATTGAGTTTGTAATGGTGTATGTATTTTCTAACCGTAAAATAGCCCCTATTCCCAGCTGAAATTTTAAATTAGGAATTGTTGACCAATATTACAATGAATCATAGTTATAACATTGACTTGGTAGGAAATATACCTTTTTTTGTTGAAAATTTACATATCAATGTTCTTTTCATGACGTCACAAATAGCACACATATTGATTTTCCATGAATATTAAAGAAAACAGGTAAATTTCCATTGTTTTTTGGGACTGGAAACAAAGAGCGCATTTGTCAACAAAATCCCTTATACATGTATTATCAAAATCTTCATAAATGTATTGCTATTGAATTATTGTCTCCCTGTACTCTAATTCACCGATATTTTCCCGTATGCAGTGACATTTACTTAGAGACCTCTCGTTAGAACTACGTCCATAGTATAGTGCAAGTTTGAGAGGAAAACCGTGATGAAAGAATGTAAACAAACATACACTGGAAGGTAAATAGTAATAAAAGAACAGAGGCCCAATGTCCCCTGTGTTGCACATATTTTATCTATCCAAGGTACAAGGGCAATAACTAAAAAGAACACGTAGCAAATGCAATGCAATTTCTGTTTATAATTAATATATCCAAGGGGTTAAAAATATTTGATCAGCACTTATTTTCGAAAGTGTCAAAGACATATTGCTGATATAAATCTATGAGATAAGTTTAATAAAATTCTGGCAAGAATTGTACACATGAGAGTGCTAACAATGCAATTTTCCATATAATCAATATTTCCAAGGTGCTTAACTCTTTTGAAAATAACTGATCGCCACTGATTTTCGAATTTGTCAAAGACATTACTGATATTAACCTATGATATAAGTTTTATAAAATTCTGGCAAGAATTGTACACATGAGAGAGCACTAACAATGCAATTTTCCATATAACTAATGTTTCCTAGGAGCATAACTCATCAAAAAATAATTGACCAGCACTGATTTTCGAACTTGTCCAAGACATTGCTAATATAAACCTATGATATAAGTATCATAAAAATCTGGCAAGAATTGTACACATGAGAGCGCTAATGATGCAATTTTCAATATAATTAATGTTTCCAAGGGGCATAACTCTTTTAAAAATAATTGATCGGCACTGATTTTCGAACTCATTCAAGACATTGCTAATATAAACCTATGATATAAGTTTCATAAAAATCTGGCAAGAATTGTACAAATGAGAGCGCTAACAATGAAATTTTCCATATAATTATTGTTTCCAAGGGACATAACTCTTTTAAAAATAATTGATCGGCACTGGTTTTCAAACTTGTCCAAGACATTGCTGATATAACCCAAAGATATAAGTTTCATAAAAATCTGGCAAGAATTGTACACGTGAGAGTGCTAACAAGACGGGACAGACGGACAAATAGACGCCCGGTATTTCATTGTCCCCTGCAATGCATTGCGCAGGGGATAATAAATTGAGAATGTGTCCATGGGACACAGATGATGCACCTGCTTGCATATAACTTTATAAAGGGGGAAAACTCGAGAACAGTAAAAGTGACACCACCCAAATTCGATCTTGATCCGTGTTTTGTGGTAATAGCCATTGTTTTTAAGTTTCATAACATTCGGTTGAGGCAAACTAAAGTTAGAGAATAGAAACGAAAAATTTAACAATTTTTCCATATATAATAAAGGGACATAACTCCAAAACAGTAAAAGTGACGCCACCCAAATTAGAACTTGATCTGTGTTTTATGGTAATACGCATTGTATATAATATTTGGTTGAGGCAAACTAAAGTTAGAGAACAGTAACCAATTTTGGGACGTACAGACGGACAAGGATAACATTTAATGCCTACTCTGGTGACGGTCGGGGCATAATACTTATTCTTAAAGAAAAAATTTAATATAACAAATCATCGAACAACTGCTATTGCTGAGTTTTTCTTATGTTTGTTTTGTGTCTGTATTGCTATGACCAAAATTGGTTTTTGTTTGTTTTGCAATATATTAAAGTTAAGGAAAAGTTTAATTAACAAATGGGAATGCATGGAAAATAGAAAAACAAATATAAAATAATCATGGCTCTATCGATTCACTTATTTGTCACATGCTCCACATGCTCTGTGATGATTGTTTATTGATGTCACAATCCAGTAAACTTCGGCAAGAAACTCGAAAGTTAATTAGCTTGCGATCAACACTCACTGAATGAAATATTGTCAATAATACGTTATAGATTCGTAATAGATATAAAAATGGTGCATACAAGACTTAGTTTAGTATATATGCATGCATGATTGGTTCAAAAATTTCGATAACATTAAAATTACAAGAAACTTGTTTCATATGAATTTAAGGCTTTATATGAAAAGCTACACTAAAAAAGTTCTATTTCACGTTCTTACGTGTCTTTTCATCCACTTGAAACAATTTTTATCTTCAAACAATGGACTTAATATTCTGGGCCAAATAAAACCCTTACCAAATTTACCCTTTTAATTGACTTACCATCAGTGGTTCCCCTTAAACTGACCTGATTACAAACTTAAACAATTGTTGATGCTATTGCTGGGGACAGCAGACCTATGTCTCGCCTCTGGAATTCTATTGAATGGAGTCAATAACAATTTGATGTGAAGATTTGATTAATTGATTGATTGGTTTTTAACGCCACTTTCAGTGCTATTGGCTATTTCCTGGCAGTCAGTTTTTATTGTTGGAGGAAACTGGAGTGCCCGGAGAGAACTTACTAGATTTGGTAGGAAAACTAACAATCCTAGTCAATTAAAATTAGAGCCGAACACACCTGCCATGTGCAGGGTTCAAACTCACAACCTCCGAATTGATAGGCTAGTAATACAGTAGTTGGACTACTTAGACCACTCAGCTACCGAGGTCCCTAATGTGAAGTAGATGAGAGGTCAATAGCAGCATGAAATTTCTCAGAAAATACCCCTATGTTAACATCTATTCAATATTAAGGTCAAACAGATATACGATCTCCTTGTAATGGTCAATTCATTTTACCATGATTTTGGGGTCTCACTACTGAGCTTAAGTTTCAGGTTGGAGCTTCTTTATGGGAATTAGATGTTATATTGACATAAAATGTCATCAGGCAATACTGCAAGAAGAAATTCTTAAATATAGATAAAAAGAATGGTGTGATCTCTATTTCATAGATGCTTGATTGTGATTACAGTGTTTGAGTTTACAGTTTAGATTGAAGCAAGTTTTCTGTTTGAAAGTAGATGTCATAAAAAAAAAGAAACTTCATTAGATAAAATTCTGGTAGAAATGATAATCTGACAGCAATATCATGGTTGACTGATTCAATTTTCAATACTGAGGCTAATGGTAAGGTTGACGACAGCTCTATGAAAAGTAATAGACCAATTCAGTAGAGTTGCTTTATAGCCTATAGGTACATTACTGTTTCGGTTGGTCCAGAAATCATTTTTGAGGATGCTGAGTCTGTTCAATAAAATTAATGGGCATGGAAGTTGAATTTCTGATTATCACAATAAAACCTCATAAAAAAATACTTCAACTCAGGTCTAAAGGATGGTATAAACCTTAATGTAATTGTTGATAACTGGTGTTTGTACATTTGTACAATTGAACAGTTCTGGTTAAAGCAATATGAAAATTAAACATTCAAATATATTTGGTAGGCAGTCGTCAAAGTTATGTATAAACAAGGCCATGCATATTTGATGTTAAAAGTCATAATTTGATTTTTCTGATGAGCTATGCAATGTGATGAGGCATAAGGAAAACATTTTTTTCTCCATGTTACCTTGATTTAAGAATCCATTACTATAATAAAGTTCATGTGACATCTCCTTTGTGGGTGAATAAACATTTCTTTTTAAAATCTGAGTTGGAAATCTATTGCCATCTCTCTGGGACCTCTTTTCTCTTTGCTCTAGAGACTGGTTTTTCTGCTCTAAATCAAAGGTCGATATTCTAGAATTTGTATCTCTGTACATTGGTGATAAACTGATTTGATCTCTAGATGGCTGGTCACCACTCTGCCCTACCATTGTTATTTCCCCAATGCTTTTTCCTGATTGATTTAAAATCTGGTGAACATGGTCCTCAGGCATTGCAAATTGTCCTTGAAGTGGTGTTTTTTGAAGGCTTGCTATGAAATTAAGTAAAGGATCCTTTTCTGGTGAAAGGTCTGTACGATACTGGAATTCTCCTTCGCTGAATGGTTCCATGGATTCATCCTGAATTGTACAAAAGTAGCTAGTTGGACACACAACAAGGATCAAAGAGACTTTGCAAATGTAAAAATATTTTTGCAAAGACAGATTCATTTATTAGTAATTTCTAAAAATAATAAAAATAACACATACAAAGAGATAACAGGAATCTCCCAAAATACTTTTAGTCAACCTCTATTCCATACAACCATTTTTTATGTAACATTTTGGTTTTCTATATAAAGCTTTATTCCAGTACTGTAAAGTTTAAGTTATTATTGAAAATCATAAAATGACACTGCCATTTTGTATGTATTATATATATAAACATAAGTGAATCCTAGAATTTTGCATAATATATATGGCATTTAAGAGAGATATTATTTTCTATGATGGACAAGAATTGAATGAAAAATTCACAGCATTTATAACAGACTTGTAAAGGCTTTTCCCCTTTGATATTATAACTATCATATTTAAACAAAGAGATTAAATCAAATATTTCCATGAAAATGTAATAATGATTATTCAGAAACACTAATTTACTCATTTTCACATTTACCCCACCAATAAGGTTTGGCATCATACCAATTCTTCAAATAAAGCATAGGCAATCTACAATCACAAAGTTTGCCTTGTTCTGCACAATATATAGAAATAATTTTATTTCAGAGAGCAAATTTTGGAGAATCTTAATATTACCTAAATGCTAACCTACTCCTCAAGATGCATCTCCACACAACTTTATATGATAATTTTACTAATAGGTACCGAGATATGAACTTTGGAAAAAGAACTAAGGTAGATCACAGTGACCTTCTTTACCTACTCCCAAAAATGCATATCTACAAATAATACACAAAAAAGATGCACATTGCAACAGACCACATCATCCACCAATACCTGACTCCTATAAAAAATTGCATACTAACAAGGACAAACACCAAGGACAACACATGGTCCATGAGATATTATTTACATGATCTTCTTGCAACAAATTTGAACTTCCTTAAATGTTCCTATACAATAAGTTACAAAATTACTGGCCTACTAGTTAATGAGATCTGGCTGATGAAGCACATATGAACACTGATGGTACTATGAAAGTCCACATTGAATTTTGATTGGCGAAATAAAAAAAAGGGAGAAACTAAAGGGACATTTTGTGAAGCCTACCATATTATTGATTATGACATTTAAAAAAAAATCAATTGTAAAATGTTATATACTACTAGTTCTGTGGTGTCTTTTAGTGTATCTGCTATACTGCAGTCTCCCCTGTGTTTTGTTGACTTTGCTATTCTTTGTCTCAAATCTGAAACATAAAAATTAGAGGCTCTAAAGAGCATGTGTCACTCACCTGCATCTTCAACAATGACCACTATTGGGAAAATTCATTATTAAACATATTAAAGGGCAATTACTCCATTCAGAGTTAACTGACAATTTCAGTGATAATGACGTATTTGTAGATCTTGTCCTGCTGATCGTTTTTGCTTTTAAAGTTCCTATCTATCTATAATAGTTTTCAAGATAATATGCAAAATCATGATAAAAATCATCATGTAAGGGCAATAATGCTTATAAGGAGTAGACTATCAATTTGGGCCATGTTGACTAATTTGTAGAATCTGTCTTGCTGATCACTTTTGCTATTTAGATTTCTAGCTATCTATTATAGTTTTCAAGATAAATGACAAAGAGCAAAAACTTGGTAAAAATCATTATTATAGGCCAATAACTATAACCAATGAGTAGTCTGAAAGTTTTGATGTATTCAGACAAAAGGTAGATCTCAACATTCTGAACATTTTTGCTTGTGTCAGATTTTTTCTATCTATAGTGGTTTTTCAAGATAATAGACAAAACTTGTATGTTCTATCTTTAGCCATGGTGGCCATGTTGGTTGGCAATTTTTTAACTAGATATCCCAAGGATGATTGTGACCAAGTTTGGTTTCAATTGGCCCAGCAGTTTCAGAGGAGAAGATGTTTGTAAAAGTTAACGGACAATGACGACAGACAATGGATGAACAAGTGATGTGAAAAGCTCACTTGATTGTTCGGGTCAGGTTATCTAAAAAATAAAATCACAAAAAATAAGTGAAGCATAAATGAGGCAATTGGTCTTTTCATTTGAATACTGTAAATTCAGAAATGGTTGTGAATAATTCGACTGGGTGAATATTGCAATAATAAGAACTTGCACTCTGATATTTGATACATATATCTGTAGGCAGATATTCTTTAAATCGCAATAATAAAACTTGCATTTTTGTCCTTCCTTAAAAAATCGCAATAATAAATGCATGCAATAATTTCTGAATTTACAGTACTTTCACATTTTGTCATTCTGGGACTAAAACAAGAGTGCACACGCTGAAATGTCTCGCCTTCTTTACTAATCATTGATATTATGTTGATAGTCCTAAATATAAAGCTTTATTACAACTGTCACATAAACTTAACATTAACCAAGTAAACTAAACATTGACCAATGAACCATGAAAATGAGGTCAAGGTCAGATGAACCATGCTAGGCAGGCATGTACAGCTAACAATTCTTCCATACACCAAATATAGTAGACCTATTGCATACAGAATAAGAAAAACAGACCGAAACACAAAAACTTAACTATAACCACTGAACCATGAAAATGAGGTCAAGGTCAGATGACACCTGCCAGCTAGACATGTACACCTTACAATCATTCCATACACCAAATATAGTAGACCTATTGCATACAGTATAAGAAAAACAGACCAAAACACAAAAACTTAACTATAACCACTGAACCATGAAAATGAGGTCAAGTTCAGATGACACCTGCCAGTTGGACATGTACACCTTACAGTCCTTCCATACACCGAATATACTAGACCTATTGCTTATAGTATCTGAGATATGGACTTGACCACGAAAACTTAACCTTGTTCACTGATCCATGAAATGAGGTCGAGGTCAAGTGAAAACTGTCTGACGGGCATGAGGACCTTGCAAGGTACGCACATACCAAATATAGTTATCCTATTACTTATAATAAGAGAGAATTTAACATTACAAAAAATCTGAACTTTTTTTTCAAGTAGTCACTGAACCATGAAAATGAGGTCAAGGACATTGGACATGTGACTGACGGAAACTTCGTAACATGAGGCATCCATATACAAAGTATGAAGCATCCAGGTCTTCCATCTTCTAAAATATAAAGCTTTTAAGAAGTTAGCTAACGCCGCCGCCGCCGCCGCCGCCGCCGGATCGCTATCCCTATGTCGAGCTTTCTGCGACAAAAGTCGCAGGCTCGACAAAAAGCCTACTATACAGAATGAGTTGGCAATCATACCACATCATCTTATTTCTATAAAGAACAATTTACTCATACTTCAGTAAGTTTCATCATATTCTATATAAAATAATGAAAAATAAATGGGGAATGTGTCGATGGGACACAGATGATGCCCCTGCTTGCATATAAAGTTATAAAGGGACATAACTCAAGAACAGTAAAAGTGACGCTACCAAAATTCGTACTTGATCTGAGTTTTGTGGTAATAAGCATTGTGTATAAGTTGCATAACATTTGGTTGAGGCAAACTGAAGTTAGAGAACAGAAACGAAAAATTCAGCAATGTTTCCATTTGTAAAGGGGCATAACTCTAGGACGGTAAAAGTGATGCAACCAAAATTCAAACTTGATCTGTGTTTTGTGGTAATAAGCATTGTGTATATAAGATTCATAACATTTGTTAGAGGCAAACTAAAGTTAGAGAACTGAAACCAATTTTGGGACGTACGTAAGTACGTGCAGATGGACAAGGGTAAAACTTAATGCCCCCTCCGCTACGGTGGGGGCATAAAAATACATAAAAATAAATGTTTGAAATTCTAATGTTATTATATGAAATCATATTATCAAATGATAATACATATACCTATAGAATACAATTGCAAAAATTGTGAGGAAACTGACATGCCAGCAAGGGCCCCAATTGCACATTTTTGTGTGAGGCACAGAGACTGATGCATACAAAGCAATTCATGTTTATGGGTTGTAACTTTTCATAAATAACTAAAGTGCTAATACTAACTGAAATGACCTTCATGGTAAAAACAAATAATCAAAGTACTGAAGTACTGAACATCGGATTACCTCAAGTTGTGTTGGATTATGGATAAATGACAGGTGTTAATAACCCCCCCCCTAATGAAAAGTTCTGGATCCGCCACTGAACTCTTGAAAGTATTAAAATGCAATTGTAAAATTAATTCTATCTGCTGTGAAACAATAATAACACAATAGTGGTTATTTCTAAGTATTTAGTAAAACAACAACTTGCAATTTAGGTAAACAAACATCAATGATCGACCACGTGTTTGTCTGCTGTGCTTGAATTCAAAAGACCCATCAGGTTTATTTGCAAGAATTTTTGCTAAAGCAGACAGTTAAACATGTCTGTTAACCTTAAAAGTTTTATAAAAATGCATTTGCTGTTATGACTTGTGTATGCATGGAAATATAATGAAGATAACATTGATTTTTTACCGTAAAATTGAATACACAAACATTCTTCAGCTATACACACAAAACACATCCCACTTTTGTAACGATGGATGGTAACGTATAACCACTCTGTAACAGTAAATCCCATTGGATAAGCTACCCTACACTGTACATAATATGCAAATTAATGATTGGATACGAATTTGTGTCAGCTCTCAAATTGATGGAAAAATGTAAACATTGGAATCCGCCATTTTGAAACTAATTTTCAATCTTGGATTAAAGGACATTGCGCACATTGCCAGCATATCATGCATAACCAGTCATGCGCAAATATATCTTTTAATTTGTTTTCTACACTTACTATTCTGTGTTTTAGTAAATTTAATGTTTTAATTTCCTACAGAATGGAACATCATTCTCAAAATATGCCATAGAAAAAAATTATAGGTGGGCGTAAACATTTTACATACGGGAACTTTTTGTGTCGACAGATTGACCTTTATCTGTGAGATTCAGGCGTTTGCCGTTCAACTGTTACCTTTCTGTGTATAACGACAAAACATTTTAATATTATTAATTTGTGTTTAAAAAAAAAATTTTTTTAGAGTATCCATTGAAAAAAATGAATTTAAAACAAGCGATAAGGAATTTTATTTTGCACTAGATAATGTCCGCAGATCTATAATTTTTATAGATCGGTTGAAAACCCAAAACTAATTTGCATAATGGAAATTTAGGCGATAGCAATACACCGGAACGACCTCACGATTACTTACCATCATCCAATATATAATCTGCCACTTCACCTTCACTTTTACTGAGTAACCACTGACCCATTGACACACTCTGGTTAAAAGTGTCAGATACACTCGACTGCAGAGTAGTACTATCATCAGATGGAACTGGACTAGACTGTCCGTTAGGAGTTATGGTTTTGGGAGAACCAGATCTAGGTACAGAAATAAGGGACTGTGTACCCACCATGTCATCTGCAGGAGCTGAACACAAAGTACTGCAAAAAAAAATGTACTAATGAATAAAGAGGCATTGACAAGACAATTACATTAAAACCATCCAAGAAAAAGACTGAAGTGCCCAGGTTGCACAGTATTTTTCTTTAAAAAATTCAATTTTTTTGATAATGAACATTCTCAATTTTATCAAAATAATTGAAAAAAACATGTAACATAAAAGAATGCATCCATGAAACACAGATGCCCCAAGAGCCAATGTACTAATTCAAATTCACTATTTTTTCCATTTATAAAGGGACAAATTCGAACTTGATCTAAGTTTGGTGGTAATAAGCATTGTGTATATATTTCATAAAATTTGGTTGAGGCAAACTAAAGTGAGTGATTGGAAACCAATGTTGGGACATACAGACAGACAAGGGTAAAACTTAATTACATATAAAATTTGTACTATTTTTTGTAAATTTTCTTGGTTTCATTTTTTAAAATGGGAAAAAATTTGCAAATAATTTCATAATACATGTAGCAGGTGCAAAAGAAAAACCTATGCAACTTCTCTGACATTGAAGATCTAGGTTAAAATCTGTAGGAGCAGGTGATGACACTAAATAGGTAATTACAATATAAGGTAAGCCCTATTTTGGAGATGGAATCAACATTAAATAATATATTACATTGTTATATTTTCTATTATATTTCTAGTCAGTTAGTCTATAATTTGATGCATATAAATATTTACTTTATCTCTTGTGTTAGGGGATACTCATATGACAATTGATATAGGTTAATTCCTGGCGGGATCTCTCCAGGAACAATTAAGTATTTTAATGTATTATTTTTACTCGGCTGCAGCCTCGTAGGCCTGCAGGGATCTCCCCAGGCCGTTTGTTCTCTTAAGTCTATATAGCTTTACACATGCCGGGATCTCCCCAGCACTGTAACTTAATTTATGTATAACTTTTTTGTACGAGTAATCACAGAGTTTTTTACAAATTGTTTAAGGAATTTTTATTTTACTCGTACTTTGATAGTTTTAAAAATTTATAAAGTGAAATTTTCTTTTAAGTGAATGAGTTGCCCCAAGAAAGCCAATAATGTATTATATTTTTATTCATCCATTGTAGAAAGATATGTACTGTTAAGTTACATTTTATTTTTTATATAGATTTAGTATGTTTAATATTTTAATAATAAAAGTATTCTTAAATATGTGTTGTGTGTAAATATGGGAAAATAGTCAAATTTAAGTGCTTTTTAAGCTTTTTGCATCCCACAAATAATCCATTATAGCCATGAAATATATCTTTTTGACCAATTCATGTGACAAAAATTAAACCATTAAGGATATAAAAAGACAAAATAATAAATATATATTTATTTTTTTGTTAGTTAGACTTCTGTATTTATGATACTGGTGTGAATTACTATTTTAGCTAAATAAAGACCAGAGGAAATGCTCAAATATAAAAAATAGCTGTGCCATGTGCGCATGAAACGCCTGTCGCTTTTTCAAATAATAAATTTCCATAACTACACAATGTCATATCAGAAATTAATAAAAAACTAAAAGGAGGTTATTTTAATAGATATAAACCTGTCACCAATGTTTCATGAAAACTGCTCAAAGCACTATTGAGTTTTTGTCCGAAAACTGGAAAATCCCCCTTTTTTAATGAATAAAACCCCATAACTCAGAAAATTAAAATCTAAAATTTATAAAAATCAAAAGGGAGCTCACATCAATAGATATAAACAATTCACCAAAGTTTCATGAAAACTGCTCAAAGCATTTTTGAGTTATTGTCCGAAAACTGGAAAATCCCCCTTTTTTAATGAATAACACCCCATAACTCGGAAACATAAAATCTAAAATTTACAAAAATCGAAAGGGAGCTCACGTCAACAGATATAAACAATTCACCAAAGTTTCATGCAAATTGGTTAAAGAGTTTTTGAGTTACTGTCTGACATGTTGACGACGGATGGACGGACAGGGGTATACCGTCCCGTAAACGGGGGTATAAAAAAGATATTACCGGTATAATATATCATAATGTTTTTAACAAGAGGCACACCTGTACCTGAATTGCTTTCCTGGGGAAAAAAATTGTCAGTTTGCTAATTAGAACTATATTAGGCACTTACTGTGGATTCATTTATTTTTGTGGGTACCATTTTCGTGGATTAAGAAAAAAATGGAATTTTTGGGGGGATGTTTGTTTTCATGGTTTTACCAAAGTCTGCATAAAAGCAAATAGAAAATTCACCTTTATCCGCAAAATCCACGAAAATTGGTATCCCATGAATAATAATGAATCCACAGTACTATAGATCATTTTTTGTAATTTACATGTTCAACTTAGATCCCATAGTCTTTTAAATGTCAAAACTACAAAAAAAAACAACAGTAAAAATATACATTTCAGGGGCAATCACACCAAAAAGGGTTCTCAATTTTTCTTAGTAGATAGATTTGTCATGTTGATAATTTTTGCAGTTTACACTTTTAGAAAGAAAACAATAGTTTATTTCGAAATACAGTGTTGTTCAAGCTTAAATATGATATAACTTTGTTCTACGAAAATGTCAAATGAATATTGTATGTTGGTTTTTTTTTTCGTGCATGTTTAATTTTCCCTTTGTTCACGGCACATACAGAAACGTGAAAATTTGACCCAGCGTAAATTTCCCTGCCTATTCCTAAATCTATAGCTGTTTAAACGTTTCATACATAAAACTGATAATTATCGAGTTTACACAAAATTGGCTAATCATTACATGTCATACCTTTTGACAACACAGTAATCAGCGACATGTTCATGAATGTTAGTTAACAACATCTATTGATTGTTGTCATAATCTGAACATTTGGAATATAATGTGTAAAATTAAAATAAATTACATTTAAACAGATATTTGCACAAATATGTTTTCAAAATGCTCTGTTACACCAGCACAAAAGTTATGAAATCCTTCATTTTTTACCATGCCCCAATGAACTTAATTTAAACGACTATTGAAAGATCTCTGAGTTATGTGTATTTAAGTTTGTAGTACATGCATTCATTTTTAATTGATTATCTGTCAGTCAATCAAGTGTATGTTGTTTACATCTTTAAGAATATAATATGGTGACATTTTAGTGAAAGTTATATATACACAGTGAAAATTTAACCCGAAAAAAAAAAAAAAATATAGGTAGGATAAATGTGTTTTTAACAAGTTTGAACTAGTCACATGCTTCTTTTAACAGGTACCACCCTGTCTGATTCTGATGTTTGAAGAGGGAGAAAGCCAATTAAGGATCATAATCAGCCCTAGATAGTAGCTTCATTATTAGGCATAAGTATCACAAAACTTTACTTGTCAGTATAATGTAGAATATAATGCAGATAAGAAGAATTTGACCTTACCTGACTTCACTTTTATTTTTTCCAATGCTTCGAGGGTATCTATATCAGTTGGAGATGCTACACTGTGGGACATATTGTTTTGAATTTTGCAGGGTTCATAAATCTGATCATTTTTAGCAATTTACACTTTTAACCTACTGGTAGCTACCACATTTTTAACGATAGCTGAGTTTCAGGGAAGAAGATTTTTGAAGGAAAATTTATGAGCACTCTTGTATTCTTATGCCCCCCCCCCCTTTCCAGCATAAAAGCTATCTCCTTTTGTCAAAATATAATAAAATGCTTCGCTGAGCGCAGCCTGATACGACCGCAGTGGTCGAACCCTGAACAGTTGGGGCAAATTTGGACACAATATTCAAGCTTGAGACTATCTGAATTTGGATTGTGATCAAATTTTTGACATAATATAGGTTTCTGACACAAAATAAATGTGGTCAAAGATCTTACAAATCTAATGCGCAATACTGTGCAATTGAAGATTTCTTCTTGAAACTTTTCAAAAAATTTTGAAATTTTGAAAATTTTGAAAAAAAATATGAACCCTTTTAAAAAATAAACTGCTTCGCTGAGCGCAGCTGGATACGCCCGCAGAGGTCCAACCCTGAACAGTTGGGGCAAAAATGGACACAATATTCAAGCTTGATACAGGTCTGAATTTGGATTGTATTAAATATTTGACATATTATAGGTTTCTGAATAAATGTAGTCAAAGAACTTGAAATTGGTTATATGAATTGAATTTATATTCAATTAAATATTTCTTGCTGTTGTGCAATACATTGTGCTGTTGCGCAATACTTAGTAAATCTGTTGTCAGACTATAAACAATTAAAGTTCAATTAATTCTCAATGTCATTTTAGAAATTTATGAAAATGTAAAGGGGGCTTACATCAATAGATATAAACAATTCAACAAAGTTTCATGAGAATTGCTGACAGCATTTTTGAGTTATTGTCCGAAAAATGTAAAATGTAAAATTTATAAAATTATATATGGATCTTACATCAATAGAAATAAACAATTCACCAAAGTTTCATAAGAACTGCTGAAAGCATTTTTGATTTTTTGTCTGAAAACTGGAAAATCCCCCTTTTTTTATGAATAAAACCCTGTAACTCGGAAACGTAAAATCTAAAATACATAAAAATCGAAAGGGAGCTCATGTCAATAGATATAAACAATTCACCACAATTTCTTGCAAGTTGGTGAAAGCATGCTTGAGTTATTGTCCGAAAACTGGAAAATCCCCCTTTTTTTAATGAATAAAACCCCATAACTCGAAAACGTAAAATCTAAAATTTATAAAAAACAAAAGGGAGCTCACGTCAATAGATATAAACAATTCACCAAAGTTTTATGCAAATTGGTTAAAGAGTTTTTGAGTTACTGTCCAACATGTTGACGATGGACAGAGGTATACCATAATACGTCCCGTAAACTGGCGTATAAAAATTGGAAACCCCCCCTTCCCCCCAAACGTTTTGAATCCCCCTTTTAGCATTAACCATCAAACTCAATTGCAGTCTTTCCTTTGTAGTATGGAACCTTGTAGTACAATTTTAGAGAGATCCATACACTTAATCACAAGTTACTGTCTGGAAACTAGAAAAATGCTTTTTTAAAATTCAAAAGCCTCCATCAGCAACATTAAATAGTAATATTTAAAAATAAAATTCCTTCACATACATAATAATGGCTATAATTAAATTACCTTTATTAAACAATTTTAAAATAGTAACGTCTAAAAATAAATTGACAGCTAATCACCTAAAGACAATACGTTTCTTTATAAATAATTTACAAGCAGTGTAAGGGAGGTAATTTGACAATATGTGTTTTACACTGCTTTAAAATTATGTTTTGTACTTAAGTAATTGTCCATTAACCTGGAAACCCTTGTTTTCCCCCTTTTTTGCCCCTAATTCCTAAACAGTTTGATCCATAACCCCCAAAGCAAATTCTTACCATCCCTTTGTGATATGGTAACTTGTGGAATAATTTCAGAGAGATCCATACACCATTTCACAAGTTATTGTCTGGAAACTAGAAAAATGCTTATTTGGGCCCCATTTTGGCCCCTAATTCCTGAACTGTTAGGACCATAACCCCCAAAATCAATCTCAACCTTCCTTTTGTGGTCATAAACCTTACTGTAAAATTTCATAGAAATCCATACACTTAAACAAAAGTTATTGTCCGGAAACCAATGTGTCTTCGGACGACGACGACGTGATAACAATATACGACCGCAAATTTTTTGTGGTCGTATAAAAAATAAGAAAACAAGAGTGCACATAAATTTTCCTTCAAAAATCTTCTTCGCTGAAACTGCTCGATGAATTGAAAAAAAAGTTCTGATTTTATCCAAGTTGATCACACAAAACTTAACTTTGATTACTGATCCATGCAATGAGGTCAAGGTAAAATCTGTCAGATAGACATGAAAACCTTTCAAGTATCTCATACTGTATACAAAATATAGTAATCTTTTTACTCATAAGTGAGAAATTCACATGAGAAAAAAACTAATTTGTTAAGCAGTGGCTGAACCATGAAAATGAGGTCAAGGACAATGGACATATGACAGACATAAATTTGTAACATAAGGCATCTGTATATAAGTAATGAAGCATACAGGTCTACTACCTTCAGAAATATAAGGCTTCACTCAAATAATTTACTTCATCAGCAAACTAGCAGCCAGGAAAATAAAAAAAAAAACCACTTTTAACATTTTTTTTTACCTATAATATTATCATTTGACCTTAAAGAAACTTCAATTTAAACAGTTCATCCATAAGATTTAAAAATGTATATTAGATTGCAGATATTATACATCATTATATTTCAAATTATTGGATTTAAGCTTTTCTAATGAAGGTAATCCAGAAAAAGAGCTTCAAATGCACCAAATTTATGAAGCATTATTTTCATTTATAAAAACCTGAATGTTGAGAGATTGACTACTTTATGAGACAGAATTTTGGATATTAATTCTCTATTAGCCAACTCTGATATGCAATACTAATATCTTACATTGGAATTGGATGATCAACAAATTCCATCTCAAAATCAGGATTTTCTTCTGGTATTGGTAAATAAGGATCACCCCATGGTTCAGGTAATACTGTTTCAACAGCTGATTCTTTCATTTCTGCTGCAGTCTCTGGCATTTGTGTGCATTCATCTGTAACTTCTGTCCCTTGAGCCTGGAAAAATATATTCAATTTGGGATTTTGTGAACATAACAGGAATATAAATTATAATGATTTCTCAACAAATATACATAGTCTATTCTTTAAGATTGCCACCTTCTGTTTAAAGGTAAATAAGTGAACCATTTAAGTTACTTCACTGAAGGTGGACAGATAAAGTGAATACAACAAATGAACAAAAGACAAAAGTCCTTCATTAATTGTTTTACATCATTTATACGTACAATTTTATGATTGTTTGTTCATTTACCCTGTATCTGCTCTTGTAAAAAAAAAAAAGACTAGATGTTCCCTAGAGTCTGCTAAGCTCACCTGGCATTTATGTAAATAATGATTCATTTTTAGTACAAAAAGATGTAATAACAAAAAAAACAGAACTCTAGGTAAATTTAATAAAATGCTCCGCTGGGGCGCAGCTTGATACGACCGCAGAGGTCGAACCCTGAACAGTTGGGGCAAGTATGGACACAACATTCAAGCTTGATACAGCACTGAATTTGGATTGTAATTAAATATTTGACACAGCATAGGTTTCTGACACAGAATGAAAGTGGTCTAAGAACTTAAAAATTTTTAATTTACCTATTCAAACCATATCATTATTGTTTGCTTTTATATATAAATCAGAAATAACCAATTTAAAATGGAAAATTTTAAAGGAAAAAAAGGAAAAAAAAATCCCCCCCCAAATTTTTGATCCCCCTTATGATTCATCACCCCCAAACTCAATCCCAGCCTTCCCTTTGAGGTAGGGTACCTTGCAGTACAATTTCAGAGAGATCCATACACTAAAACACAAGTTATTGTCTGGAAACTAGAAAAATGCTTGTTTTTTGGCCCCTTTTTGGCCCCAAGTTCCTAAACGTTTAGGGCAATTACCCCCAAACTCAAACCCAGCTTTCCCTTTGTGATATGGAACCTTGCAGTACAATTTCATAAAGATCTATACACTTACACACAAGTAATTGTCCTGAAACTAGAAAAATGCTTGTTTTTTTGCCCTTTTATGGCCCCTAATTACTAAAATTTTGAGGGAATTACCCCCAAAATCAATCCCAGCTTTCCCTTTGTGATATGAAACCTTGCAGTACAATTTCAGAGGGATCCATACACTTGAACACAAGTTATTGTCTGGAAACTAGAAAAATGCTTATTTTTGGCCCCTTTTTGGACCCTTATTCCTAAACTTTTTGGGCAATTACCCCCAAACTCAATTCCATCTTTCCCTTTGTGATATGGAATCTTGTAGTACAATTTCATAAAGATCCATACACTTACACACAAGATATTGTCATGTAACTAGAAAAATGCTTGTTTTTTGCCCCTTTTTGGCCCCTAATTCCTAAAATTTGGAGGCAATTACCCCCAAAATCCATCCCAGCATTCCCTTTGTGATTTGGAACCTTGTGGTACAATGTCAGAGAGATCCATACACTTACACACAAGTTATGTCTGGAAGTTACAAAAATGCTTATTTTTGGCCCCTTTTTGGCCCCTAATTCCTTAACTGTTGGTACCATAACCCCCAAAATCAATCCCCACCTTCATTTTGTGGTATTGAACCTTATGGTAAATTTCATTGAGATCCATTCACTTAAACTAAAGTTAGAGTGCGAAAACTAATGTGTCTTCGGACGACGACGACGCCAACGTCATACCAATATACGACCACAAAAATTTTTTTGCGGTCGTATAAAAAGGAGAAGTCCATGAAAGCTGAAAAAAAACCAAACAAGTACAAGTGATGAAAAAAAAATGTTCTCTAGTTACCTGAATACCAATAATGAAAAATACAAAGTTGTCAAGAGATGCATTTGTGAAGATTCTTTTATTGTTTTTAATCTCTATGAAAACTAGAGGAATACTACTGAGCCATCAAAGAGGGCCCTGCTGCATGTAAATAGATAATTGTGATGTAATTTTAGTAGTATTTAGGGTTAATCTATATCAACATTACTCTAGTAAAAATGGTCAAATAAAATGTCAGTACCATATAGTCAACTACAAAAGATGGCAAACTATCCTACCAAGTTCTATTGTTTTCTGTCAAATGTTCTCAGAGGAGTTGCATTCACAAGGGTCTTGTGAGAGGATAGTCCAAAAGAGGTGAAAGTCCAATAACTAATAAACTGTTGACACAAAGATATGCCTTGCATGTCAGCTGAAAATCCAGAAAAAGACAAATCTGATAGACAGCAACATTGCTAAAATAATTCCAAGCTGCTGGGGCATGACCTAGGGGCAGGGCCTCGAAATAGTCGTCAAGCTGATATATACTGATAGTAAATTAATAAATGCAACTTTATAGAAAATATCATTGATCTCTCACAAGTTGTTCCGATCAAACTGATTTAAGCAGAAAACTTAACACTGAAAATTGCTAATTAATTCAAAGTCACTTTACCATGACCTAGGGGGCAGGGCCTTGAAATAGTCATCAAACTGATATGTACTCATTGTAAGTCAGCATTTAGATTACTTCCGGTAAGTCTGGTTCAAATAATATAGACCACTATTTAGATGATTTTTTATTTGGTGGCAAATCAGATTCTGATGAATGTGAACAACTGATGTTTCAGTATGATGAAATTTGCAAAGATATTGGAGACCCAATTGCAAATGAAAAAACTGAAAATCCAACTACACTGATTGAATATCTGGGTCTTACAATTGATACTATTAATGTGCTTGTTAAAATTCCACATAAAAAGGTTCAAGAACTTTTAGACAGAATTATTAAATTTTTGGCTGTGAAAAAAGTAATGTTAAAAGAATTGCACTCAATTTGTGGTTCATTAGCCTTCTGCACAAAGGCTCTACCTGCAGGAAGAGCCTTTAGTTGTCGTTTGTATTCGACCATGGGCAAAGTTTCAAAACTGTTTCACTTTATTAGGGTGACATCAGGTATGAAAAATGATTTGTTGATGTGGAAATTATTTTTGGAACAGTTTAGTAGGATTTCGTATAAATGTGTTTGTAATTGGATACAATCCCCACTTGACAAAATTAAGTCTATTTTTAGTAACAGTGACTTTGACCTTTGACCTGTTGGCACAAAATGAACAAGCTTCTTTCACTTCTCTCTATCTCACATCTGGGAACAGTATATCTAACGGGAAATGAATCTGATACGCTTTTCAGTATAAAATTGATAAAATCTCGGACTCCCCGAGACTTCCCGAGATTTACGGATTTTGGTAGCGTCTGACTGAAAAACTATCAGAACTGCTCAACAAATAAACCACATAACTCTAATTGTAAATAAATACAAGTTTTATCATTTAGAAGATATATTTTGTCATATAAAATTACCAAAATAAGTTTGATTTATTTGATGTGAAGTGTTTTATAATAGTTTGGGAATTTGTAAATCATCGCCGCCATTTTTTTATTACCTTGTTTGAATTCTGTGATGAAATACTTGCGATTTTAACAAATTTGAAGGGACAGAATACAAGTTCGATACACTAGCATCACTATAAAACTAGTTTGAATGACATTTTATTGATAATATCAGAAATTATTAGGATAATAGCGAGTCCGTTTTTAACACATGTCCTTTTCTGTATCGTATCTTTATTAACTATGGCACGACGATAAAATCGACTACAATCAGGTAGTGTCAAGTCCCGTCAATATATATGTTCCTGCTCACATCTGAACAAGTTTCATTTTAATCATGCAAGATAACCATCCAGAAATATTTTTTTCTATTTTTAGTAACAGTGACCTTGACTTTCACCTATTGATCCCAAACCTAATAAACTTCTTTCTGTTCCCTATATCTTTCATCTGTAGAACTTTCTTTCCAATTTAGCAAGGGAAACTCAAATTACCATCAAGAAACTTTTTTCAAAACCTTATTTGTACTTTAGTAACAGTGACCCTGACCTTGATTTTTTTCACCCAAATATCTGACGGCTTCTTCCTCTTCGATCAAGTTTCATTAAAATCAAGCAAGGGATACTGAAATAACTATCCTGAAACCATCTGTTTTACAAACATAGAAGGACAGACAAAGCGATTATTGTATGCTCCCAAATTGTTTTTGGGGGAGCATAACAAATTGAATGTAAAATAAATCTGTGAAATATATCACCACTCTGTTTCTCAAATCTTCTGGTTAAGTGGACATAGTTATCATCCTTTGATTTTTGTTGTCTACGAATATAGTCCCTAGTGTGAACAGTGCACTTGAAAAAAAATTTCCTAGACTTTCCAAATTCATTTCTTAATATTCTATGCATAAAATAGTAAGTAGGGGGATGAAATTACATGTAAAAAAAAATTTGGGTCATGAATTTTTGGGTAAAGTAGTGACTTGGTACAGTTGAAAAAGGTAAAAAAAAAAAAGGATGTCTGAAGTTGTCAAACTGAATTATATAGACCTCCTTAAGGCAAAGTATATGTTATTGCACCCCTCTAGCTGAATTCGGGATAAAAAACCTGCGTCGTTAGTTAGGCAAGTAATCTCCCTTACTCTAAGCAGAAAATGTGCAAACGAACGAGAAATGACTAAGTGCGGTCTTATCACGAATAAAAAATTCACCTGTGATGTGAAACTTCAAAGAAATTATCAGAATGACTCCAATCAGAAATCTGAGTATCCTATTGTTAGTTAGCCTGACTCTATTACCAATGTTTTTGTTTTAGACATGCAGGAGAGGGTACACAATACGACTCGTGTTTATATCAACAGAAAGTCAAAATGTCTGATTAAAAAATTATAACCAAATAAACAAATAAACAAATAAACCTGTGACAATTCTGCTTCTATTCGTACAAAATTGATTAAAATATGATTAAAATCAAACCAGAATTGACCCCACAATATTTTTTGAAAAACCATAGTTTTGAAAGAAATATACACAGTAGCATAAAAATTGTAGGTTATGAATAATTATATGCTATGTGAATAAGAGTGTTGATCTAGAAAGATGTTGGCATGTTCGTTTTTTATGCAATTGAAAATTTTAGGACATGATTTACATTTATATAAAAAAGTAAGAAGATACCATGGGGTTAATCGACTACCTGTGTAACAAATAAGTCAAAGAACAAAGACCACAACAAAAAACCCCATCAGATTCAGTCCACAAAACATTACACAGAAACTTAAAATTGAGCACTCTAACATTTATCTCAGAATAAATAAAAACTATGTAATTCAACTCTCAGTTTTCAACTGTATACACAGGTGCAGAAAATAAACAGGTGTCTTCTATTCCGTCCGCAATTTTGGGGGAAAGTAAAATCTTAAATTAGAACCATGGTTGAAACTGAAAGTACACATGTATGATAAAATTAGAACATGTTATTTCTTCTTTATCAAATTCCAATTTTGAAGGGATAGGGAAATTTTTTTTTTTTTTATTGTGTTTTTGTGTATCATTCAGAAGGAGGGACTGCAATTTTAAAGGAGAAGATTATGACTAAATAGAGTTTCAAGAAGGTAAAAAGAGGTGGTGGTGGTGGTGGTGGTGGGTGGGTGGATGGGGGTGGGGTTAGGGCGCAAGAAAATAATGTGACACTTGTTACTGCAATTTAAGTCTTTCAGGGTAAATGAAAAGTAGATCATTTAATATTTTTGGTAAAATGAGATGTGAAATGAGTTAACTAAAGAGTGATTTTTTTTTCAATTTAAGAACCAATTGTATTTAATTATCCTAAATTCTGCAGAAATACTACAAAATTCTACTACAAGGTTTGTTTAATGACCTTGATTATCCATGATGATCTCGCACGGTCAGCTCTATTCTATCATCTAGTTCAAAATTTTACAACAAGCATTCAGGAGCCTGTGGTTCAGTGGCTGTCATTGGTCCATGTCTGTCATATTTGTTTTTCGTAAAATGTTAGGCTGTTGGTTTTCTGGTTGGAATTTTTCCACATTTTTTCATGTCGGGACCTTTTATAGCCATCTATATGGTATGGGTTTTTGTCGTTGTTGAAGGCTGTATGGTTGTCAATAATAATTGCTTACATCCACTTTATTTGAACTGTGGTGGATAGTTGTCTCATTGGCAATCATACCACACCCCCTTATTTTTATATTATATAAAAAGCAATTCATTTGCATTGTATACAGGCACAATACGTGTGGTACTACACTAGATAAACTCGTATATCATTATATTATGAACAGTCATCTTGCTTTACACTAGGTACATCATTATCAAATTACACTAGGTACATTTTTTAGCATCATACTGGATACATTCTCATAAAATTGCCTTTGGTACATTCTTATAGCATAACACCAGTACATTTATAGCATTACACTATACACAATGCTAAAGCATTACAATATATACACAATGATATGGAATAAAACTAGAAATGATCCATTAATAAATGCACTAGGTACGTCCATCTTAAAGTGTTATTTCGTCTTGAATATGCATAAAATATGAGCTATGGGAAGTTAGATCAAAAACTCTGATCTGTTCTATTTTGTTAAAATGTATATGCAGGTTCTTCTTTTGACCTTATTAATACAACTCAAGATAATATGCAGATGCAGTTTTCTTATTTTTTGGAAGCCATGCATGTGGATATTTAAAAAATAATGGTACAAGAAGTATTTTCCTTTGTTACTGAAACTGAGCATTCAGCCATCAAACATTATATCACCTTTTGTCGTTTAGTTAAAGAAAAGGGTAAGCGATTGAGACAGGAAATTTTGTTGAGTTGTGTCACGTACATGTGTGTGAACCAGTCAAATAAATTTGATTTTGATGTAGACTTTATTGCTAGCAATACCTCAAATTTATAGCACTGGAAATGGTGAGGATGAAAATATGCAGATAATGGGGTTTACTTTTTAAAATACAAATATGCAGAAATAAGATTAAATAAATGGGGAATGTGTCCATGGGACACAGATGATGCCCCCGCTTGCATATAAGGTTATAAAGGGATGTTACTCAAGAACTGTAAAAGAGACGTAACCCAGCTTTGTACTTGATCTGAGTTTTGTGGTAATAAGCATTGTGCATAAGTTTCATAACATTTGGTTGAGGCAAACTAAAGTTAACAGAAACAAATATTTCAGGAAGTTTTCCATTTGTAAAGGGGCATAACTCTAGAACGGTAAAAGTGACGCCACCAAAATTCAAACTTGATCTGTGTTTTGTGGTAATAAGCATTGTGAATGATTCATAACATTTGGTTGAGGCAAACTAAAGTTAGAGAACGGAAACAAAAAATTCAGCAATTTTTCCATTTGTAAAGGGGCATAACTCTAGAACGGTAAAAGTGACGCCACCAAAATTCAAACTTGATCTGTGTTTTGTGGTAATAAGCATTGTGAATGATTCATAACATTTGGTTGAGGCAAACTAAAGTTAGAGAACGGAAACAAAAAATTCAGCAATTTTTCCATTTGTAAAGGGGCATAACTCTAGAATGGTAAAAGTGAAGCCACCAAAATTGAAACTTAATCTGTGTTTTGTGGTAATAAGCAATCTGTATAAGTTTCATAACATTTGGTTGAGACAAACTAAAGTTAGAGAAAGGAAACGAAAAATTCAGCAATATTTCCTTTTGTAAAGGGGCATAACTCTAGAACAATAAAAGTGACGCTAACAAAATTCAAACTTGACCTGTGTTTTGTGGTAATAAGCATTGTGTATAAGTTTCATAACATTTGGTTGAGGCAAACTAAAGTTAGAGAACGGGAACAAAAAAATTCAGAAATTTTTCCATTTGTAAAGGGGCATAACTCTAGAACGGTAAAAGTGACGCCACCAAATTTCAAACTTGATCTGTGTTTTGTGGTAATAAGCATTGTGTATAAGTTTCATAACATTTGGTTGAGGCAAACTAAAGTTAGAGAACTGGAACAAAAAAATTCAGAAATTTTTCCATTTGTAAAGGGGCATAACTCTAGAACGGTAAAAGTGACGCCACCAAATTTCAAAATTGATCTGTATTTCATGGTAATAAGCATTGTGTATAAGTTTCATAACATTTGGTTGAGGCAAACTAAAGTTAGAAAACGGAAATGAAAAATTCAGAAATTTTTCCATTTGTAAAGGGGCATAACTCTAGAACAGTAAAAGTGACGCCACCAAATTTCAAACTTGATCTGTGTTTTGTAGTAATAAGCATTGTGTATAAGTTTCATAACATTTGGTTGAGGCAAACTAAAGTTAGAAAATGGAAATGAAAAATTCAGCAATTTTTCCATTTGTAAAGGGGCATAACTCTAGAACGGTAAAAGTGACGCCACCAAATTTCAAACTTGATCTGTGTTTTGTAGTAATAAGCATTGTGTATAAGTTTCATAACATTTTGTTGAGGCAAACTAAAGTTAGAAAACGGAAATGAAAAATTCAGCAATTTTTCCATTTGTAAAGAGGCATAACTCTAGAACGGTAAAACTGACACCAACAAAATTCAAACTTGATCTGTGTTTTGTGGTAATAAGCATTGTGTATAAGTTTCATAACATTTGGTTGAGACAAACTAAAGTTAGAGAACGGAAACCAACTTTGGGATGTACGGACGAATGGACACACGGACGTACGGACGTACATACAGAGGGACAAGGGTAAAACTTAATGCCCCCTCCACTACGATGGGGGCATAAAAAGGTCGATCATCCACCATTATAGAACTTGTCTGATATATTGCTGATATTAACCTATAGTATAAGTTTTATAAAAATCTGGCAAGAATTGTACCTGTGAGAGTGCTAACAAGACGGGACGGATGGACAGAATTTCCATGTCCCCTGTAACGCGTTACGCAGGGGACAAAAAGTCTGTATAACTGTTCGTTGCGGATTGACAGAATGAAGGAATGACAGATAATGGTTAAACTATATGGCCCTGACCACTATGTGGTGGGGCCATAAAAATACTCACACTTTACAAAGTATCACTGACAAATAAGAAGTAATTCTGTTCAATAGTTCGTGAGAAAAGTTTGATTGATTGATTGATTGATTGGTATTTAACGCCACTTTCAACTCTATTGTGCTACATGTATTTCGTGGTGGTCAGTTTTTAATGGTGGAGGAAGCCGGATTGTCGGAGAGAACCACAGACCTTCGGTAGGAATAGAGAAAAGTTTGAAGAAAATATTGTTTTCTTTCAACATGTTAAAAAATTCAAAGTATCAGCAAACAGGAAGTAAATATCTAACAGATCCAAAAAAGCGCTAACATTTTACAACTCATCAAACTGTTGACAAAATATTAAGTCATCTTCTTCAGCTGTACTGGAGAAATTTGCAACTGATGAAGAATTTTAAGTTCATTCAACATATTGAAGTATTTAAAGTATAGGAAAACAGGAAGTAGGTGTCTGACAGATCTGAAAAGTAGTCACACATTACAACTCATCGCTGTCAAGCTGCTCACAAGATGATTTGTTCTGCTCATGCAGTGATTCCCTGTACCAAGTCAGGAATATGACAGTTGTTTACCATTCGTTTGATGTGTTTGAGCTTTTGATTTTGCCATTTGATAAGGGAATTTCCGTTTTGAATTTTCCTTGAGTTCGGTATTTTTGTTATTTCACTTTTTTCTGAAATTTTTTTTTTTTTTTTGATGAAAGGAATTACAAGGGGATAGCAATATAGCCACCAATTTTTGAGTTGGGGTATACATTTTCTGTTTAACAGCACAAGTGTTGGAGGACAATTTTTTGGCAGAACTCTACATTACAGGACCTCAATACTGTAAAATTTGTATCACTACCTGTACTGATGGTATTACAAATTCCTTTCTTTCCTTGCTTGGAGTTGATGGTAGGGGACTCATTGATCTCTGTTCTTTGAATATATCCTCCTCTGGAACTGGAGTTGTAACTGGGGTGTCTACTGTATGGATCTCTTGTGTCATCACTTTTTCTTCTGGTCTTGATAATTTCCCTTAAAAGTCAATAAATAAATAAATAAATATGGTTATTCATATCAACCATGCAGGCAGCACTTTCATCATAAAAGCAATATACATTCTGGCACTTTTTTTTTTATCAATGATCCATGAAAATGAGGTCAAGGACAGATGAACTATGCAAGACAGATATGTACACCTTGCAAGCATTCCATACACTAAATATAGTGGTCATATTGCTTATAGTAACTTGAAAACAGACCAAAACACAAAAACTTGAAATACTTGAAGAACCATGAAAATGAGGTGAAGGTCATATAGACTCTGCCATATTACAATCATTCCATACACCATATACCATATTTTGCCTATAGTACGCAGTTGTGTATAATACGCCCCTTTTCAACACTTCAAAATCGTGAACAAAAAGTTTATCTAAAAAATTTTTTTTTCAAAGAATCAAAATAAACATTGAAAAAAAAAACCATTTATTATTATTTTCATAAGTACTTAGTATAATAGTTTTAGAATTGTTTGTTAATATGTTATTAATATAGTGTTTATACAATTGTGTCTTAGTATATAAGTATGTTAAAAAAATTAGAATAGTTATTAGAAGCATATTATTATTTATAAGCATTGTTTATTGATGACACATCATAGTTTGCATGTGTGTAGCACATGTTTGGTACTGACATGCCTCTGGCTTGGTTATAAGGCAAAGGAGTGATACATACCCTTCTCAAATTTCCCCAGGATGCTAGGTAGTTGTTCATTTTGAGTTTTGATGCTGACAGGGAAAGTCATACATTAGTTATCATAAAGTTACAAAATCACTTAATTAAAACATTGGGTAGATGAAGTTCTGATAGTTATTGTCGCTATGTTAGAACAGATAAATCTTCTATTAAGAACGCACAGCAACAAATTTGTAAGAGTTAAATTTTTTTACAGTTATTATGTATATTATGTATGTATATATATATATAAATCTATGTAGAACTAAGATTACATGTTAACTCTTACATATTTTATTTTCATGAATTAGTCAGTTGTGTGTTATATCATTAAACTATGTACAGCTTAAATTGTGTTTAATAGAATTCCACAGTGTGTAGTTGAAGGTTGCATTCCTTAAAACCCAATTTTTCCCATTTATTACCTTGGGGATCACTCAGCTGTTTCACACCTGACTTTTTGGACCCTTTCGAAATTGACCACTGGTCTAATTTCTCATTTCCCCCAAGTCATTTAATGTAATACATCTACATTTATTTCTCTCTCCACCGTCAATCTAACCCCCTTTTATCGTAGCCACCTGCTATGAGATGGAGCAGCGTTTCATCCCTTATAGGAACTCATCTGGTTCCGGTTGGTTGACGGAGTGTCCATGTCCATGGGGCTTGGTCCATCTATACCAAGTGTCGTCGATAGGGCCTGGAGCTAAATTTCCCTTTGCTGAGTACTTGACTCCCAAGGGCCAAATTATTTATATATTTTATTAATAAAAAATAGAAATCAAATAATCTTGATGTCAGCAGCAAACTCATTGATATACTATTTGGTTATACTGGATTGTCTGTTTCAATCTTATAGCAATGTCCAAGTCTGAAGGTCACGTTTATTGTCAAGGTTGTCAACACTGCAGGAGTATGTTAAGAAATAAGTTACAAATACAGGGTATAAAAGAATACCAGAGAACACCTAAACAAGAGAGCTACAAATACAGGATAGAAAGAATACCAGAGAACACCTAAACAAGAGAGCTACAAATACAGGGTATAAAAGAATAACAGAGAACACCTAAACAAGAGAGCTACAAATACAGGGTATTAAAAAATACCAGAGAACACCTAAACAAGAGAGCTACAAATACAGGGTATAAAAGAATCACCAAGAACACCTTTTAAAAAGAGGAGTTCTAACAAAGTCACAGTTTACTTAATCAAGAGGAACACCTAAACAAGAATCAACTAGCTAAACAAGGTACATGAATCATTATCGATAAACCACAGAAAATAGAATACAGACTTAACAATGAACAAAGTCATTACTTGCTGCATCCGTCGTATCGTCAATGTCATAGTTGCTACTGTTTCTGTCATATACCTAAGTCCCTGGAGTCATAGAATAAATTAAAAGTTTTGTGTATGATATCATAATATCCATAATGGCAAGAATATGGGTTCCACCCAAATAGTACATTTCCATTTCTATTCATAGTATCTGTATCAGTATAGATAAATGTGGTATGGTACATGAGACTAGTTATTGTTTATAAGGAGACATCTACTGTTCAATGTGGTATGGTATATGAGACTTGTTAGTGTTTATATGGAAGACATCTACTGTTCTGACAGTAAAAGGTATAAAGGGAAATTGAAAAAATTAAATTAGAGTTTATACATATTTCATATAAATTCCTATGGTCTGTACTTTCCCTGACTTTTATCTTTATTTACTGTTAAGTGTCAGCTTGTCAGCTTGTTTTAATTAGAGAACTTAGGATAAGAGTTAGATCATAGATAGGAAACATCATGATGACAGCATGGGTGTAATCAGAGAAACATCTGTATATAACTTCTATAAGATGGTCAGTTGTTGTTTGAGCATTGCACTATTAGCAGTCATATGTAATACTCTTTTTCAGGCCATGAACGGTTGTAATATATATATATATATAAAAAAAAGGGAAAATACGTCAATTTGTTAATATATATACCAAGACAGGAAAGCGTGTCTATTTTTTTATATACGGATATTTTTCCTGCACATTTTTATAAATAATCTATGTTTTAAATTTTAATTTTCGGTTGAGTCGTACTTTTTGCATATGCAGAATATTTCTAGATCTAAATATGTCAACAGAAAACATCCGATGTGTATTTTTAAATATCATAGGATACTGGCCAAACCTTCACTTCTCGTAGTTAGGCTATATATATATATACTGTTGAGAATTGAGCCATGATCTCGGGTTTAATTTGTAAAATCTTGGTCGGTTTTTAACACTTCGGGTGTTTCCGTTCTTACTCGGATGTGTAATTAGGACAAAGTCTCCCTCTGCGACGAATCGATCTCAACTAATTAACACCCACTTGATGGTAACATTTTATGTGTAATTAGTGTCTTTCGTCCTCTCTCCTTCTCATATAACCTCCTTGTTCCAACAATTATGTAAAGCTGTCAATATATCAATCCAAGAAAACTCAAGTTATGGTACAAAATATGAAAAATTTAACCCAATCTGACAATTAAAGTACAGTAACCTTTGGAATGACAAACCAGAAAATAAAAAATAAATCGGGAATGTGTCCATGGGACACAGATGATGCCCCTGCTTGCATATAATGTTATAAAGGGACATAACTCAAGAACGGTAAAAGTGATGCTACATAAATTCGAACTTAATCTGAGTTTTGTGGTAATAAGCATTGTGTATAAGTTTCATAACATTTGTTTGAGGCAAACTAAAGTTAGAGAACGGAAACGAAAAAATTCAGCAATTTTTCCATTTGTAAAGGGGCATAACTCTAGAAGGGTAAAAGTGACGCCATCAAAATTCTTGATCTGTCTTTTATGGTAATAAGCATTATGCATAAGATTCATAACATTTGGTTGAGGCAAACTTAAGTTAGAGAACGGAAATGAAAAATTCAGCAATTTTTTTCTTTGGGAAGGGGCATAACTCTAGAACGGTAAAAGTGACGCCATCAAAATTCAAGCTAGATCTGTGTTTTGAGGTAATAATCATTGTTTATGATTCAAAACATTTGGTTGAGGCAAATTTAAGTTAGAAAACAGAAACGAAAATTCAGCAATTTTTCCATTTATAAAGGGGCATAACTCTAGAAAGGTGAAAGTGACGCCACCCAAATTCAAACTTGATCTGTGTTTTGTGGTAATAAGCATTGTGTATAAGTTTCATAACATTTGGTTGAGGCAAACTGAAGTTAGAGAACGGAAACCAATTTTAGGACGTACGGACGTACAGACAGACAAGGGAAAAACTTAATGCCCCCTCCACTACGGCGGGGGCATAAACATTAAAACGGAAGCTTCTTTTTATTTATACCAACAACGATGTAAAGTTTTGCAAAAATCAATCCAAGTATACTTGGGTTCAGTGTGAATTTGTAAATAAATGGAGAATGTGTCCATGGGACACAGATGATGCCCCTGCTTGCACATAACATTATAAAGGGACATAACTCAAGAACGGTAAAAGTGATGCCACCCAAATTCGAATTTTTCTGAGTTTTGTGATAAAAAACATTGTGTATAAGTTTCATAACATTTGGTTGTGGCAAACTTAGTAAGATAATGGAAACAAAAAATTCAGCAATTATTCCATTTGTAAAAGAGCAGTTAAAGTGACACTACCCAAATTCAAACTCGATCTGTTTTTTGTGGTAATAAGCATTGGGTATAAGTTTCATAACATTTGGTTGAGGCAAACTTAAGTTAGAGAATGGAAACCAATTTAGGGAATTACAGGCAGACAACGGTAACACTTAATGCCCCCTCCACTGCGGCGGGTTTGTTAAAGTCCTGCAACTCTGGAATGACAAATTAGAAAATCAAACTAGCAGCTCTAAAGAGCCTGTGTCCCTCACCTAGGTCAACCACCAAAATTTGAAATGCAGAAATTGGGTTCTTGCAATGTCATGTTGTTGTCACATTTTTCTACATTAACTGCCTTATTTCATTCTTTTTCAACATAGCAAATGAAAATTATATGACACCATGCTGGATTCAGAGATAAATCGCAACAAATGCCCAAAATTGCATCCCCCTTTGTAACCTCAACGTTAGTGCAAACATATATAGCTTATTTTAAGCTACCTTAAAATAATTATACTGTTTTCAGAAATAAAAAAAATATGTATCATAAATACCTCTATCTTTTAATTCTGTTGTTAAGGAGAATTGTGAGTGATTCTGAAAATTTGACGTTACAACCCTTAGATTTACAAAGATTCTATATACACTTGCACTTTCTGGCAGACCTAGTTGCTTTATGATTATAATAAAC